AAGCAAGAGAACAGATTTAGGTAACAAATCAAGGAGGAAATATGTCTCAAGCTGAGAAGGCAGCAAGCACAAAGGACCTGAGAATAAAGAGCTTGAGTCAGCTTGTCTTTCAAAGTCCTGCCCCTCCACACCGTTGCTGGGACTCTAAAGTTTCTCCTCATCCCAACCTTGCCAGCTCATCTCCAGAACAAACCTAATGTTCTTCTCAGTAATTGTTTTATGTAATTGTGTCTGCTGTTTTTAAATTCACTATTAGTGGGGTTCACTGTGGCATTTCCCTACATCCTTAGTTCCCATCCCTCTCCCTCCCCTGCTGTCCTCCCTCATCCCCACCCTGTGCTAATCTCTACCTCCTTCCCTTTACCTTCCTGTCACAAGCATTCTTTGTTCTTTTTCTCCTCCCCCCTCTTCTCTTCCTTAGGATTTCTTCTTCTCTCACGGTCTCCTTATCTTAGGAGCTCATACATGTTCAACACATTCATATATATATATATATATATATGAATGTGTTGAACATGTATGAGCTCCTAAGATAAGGAGACCGTGAGAGAAGAAGAAATCCTAAGGAAGAGAAGAGGGGGGAGGAGAAAAAGAACAAAGAATGCTTGTGACAGGAAGGTAAAGGGAAGGAGGTAGAGATTAGCACAGGGTGGGGATGAGGGAGGACAGCAGGGGAGGGAGAGGGATGGGAACTAAGGATGTAGGGAAATGCCACAGTGAACCCCACTAATAGTGAATTTAAAAACAGCAGACACAATTACATAAAACAATTACTGAGAAGAACATTAGGTTTGTTCTGGAGATGAGCTGGCAAGGTTGGGATGAGGAGAAACTTTAGAGTCCCAGCAACGGTGTGGAGGGGCAGGACTTTGAAAGACAAGCTGACTCAAGCTCTTTATTCTCAGGTCCTTTGTGCTTGCTGCCTTCTCAGCTTGAGACATATTTCCTCCTTGATTTGTTACCTAAATCTGTTCTCTTGCTTCAGGGAAACTTTACCCCTTCCATGAAGCCAGCTTCAGACCCCTACCCAGAGAACAGATCAAGGCTCCCAATACCAGGTTCCACCAAGCTTGGGGCCACACTGTCCTTAGTGAAACAGCTATGGCCTTTGGCACTGTTGAGCCTAGATTCCAGGAAGAAGCCTTTCTCCACACACTGAGACAAGGCATTGATGAATAAAATCTGATCAGTCAACAGAATCATGAACCTAGCTTGTCATTAGACAGAAACAGTATCATTTACGTCTTCAAATCCATTAGAGTCAAAACTTCCCTAGCCTAGACAGTGCCTTCCCTCTGCTTCTTGCTCCAAAGCCTCCTGAAGACCCTCCTGTGGGGGTTTACATTGGGGGAAATACTTACCGGTTTGGAGGAGGATGCACATAAAATACTTGTTTCTCTGCACTGTCTCCTGGGATGCTGGGGTTACAGTGGCCCTTATATAGTGGTCACAGGATTAGAAGCAAGTTCTCATTTCAGGATGTTCTAATGAGTCTCCAAAGAAAATATCTAAGATTAGCCAAGATATTCCAACCCAAAGGTCACACACAGAGCATGCTTAAGTGACAAGAATGGATAGTAATAAACTTTGGTCAACACTAGCTGTGGACCTTGACACTGCCCTGAAGTGGTGGGTTCAGTATGAGCTGGGATGAAGACCCAGAATTGATGAATAAGAGAATGTTCTGGTGGGAAAGCTCATAGCGTTTGCCGAGGCTAGTCCATTTCATCATTTGGAAACTAAGAGGTAAAGAGAGTTGCTCATGGTCATGCAATAAGTAGGGTAGAATTATGGCGCCCACATCACTCTGCCCATCCGGCCTGTGGTCCTTTTTTGCATCTGAATGCCCTTGTGATTCCTCTTGGGAAGACCCAGCCTCAATGAGTGGGTGCTGTGACCTGTCAATCAGAAGAACTCACCCTACCAACATGTATTTAATACCAGATACCTAGATTATTTTGTTTAATGTTCCCTCACAAGGTTTTTGCTCAGTGTAGAAAATTCCATCAACACTAAAAACAAAGGAAGGAAGTTGGACCAAAAATAAAGTGGGATCATGACCACTGTGCTGTGGATTGTTCGTGTTTCTTCTTTATGGAGACATCAAGCTGGTTGAGTAATTCACATCTTTCTTACCTTGATTCTGGACATGTTTATAGTGTGGCTGTGTGACCAATTGTTACCATTGCACAGGAGGTAGATGTTGTATG